TTTCTAAAAATATTTTCAATAACTGAATTTGGAATTATGGGTGCGATGTTTGCTAAAATGATTCGTTTTGCCGGTAGTACCATTGGGCGGATTCCTATGCTTACGTTGTTGATTTGAACTGTTTTGTGTTTAGAAGTTAAGTTTGTAACGTGATTTGAAGATCCTGGAAAGTATTTTATAGCTTTGGGTCCTGTTATGTTACCGATTGCCCGAGCGTACTCCTTAATTGTGATATCATCAATTGATTGCAGAATGATAGCTTGGTCTTGGGTTGGCGTATATTCGTGTTTCGTTATGTTCGCATATGAAGTTGTGGTTCCAGTCATATTAAATTTTTGGGTGCTTTGGCAATTTTCCGTTAGGTTAGATTGATTTTCATCGATTTGGGAAGGATAACTTGGTTTGCTTATATCGCTATACGGGTTCAGTTGTTTTGACATGGTGATACGTATAATATACGTATACCTACGTCAAAATATTATGTAGTGATGATTTTATCACCACTATAAGTTGTCACTGTTTACGGTACAGCACTCACTAACACTAGCACTTGTATGAACGGCACACGTAACGGAACGAGCAGGTTATAACACGTCCGATTGATTCAACTGTCGGAACGAGACTCCGAATAAAATATTTATTCACTATAAGAAAATCGTATTTGGTTTTATCGAAAAAAAAGACGAAATGATTTTCCGAACAACCCAATACGTAACTAATTCTCACAAAATTTGGTATGCTTATATGAAAATAATCGAAGATCATACGCTGTAAGTTTTATTCTTATCCATTGCTCCTAATATCTCCTATAACAGGAGAATCTGAATTTTTTGAACGCACCTTGTATAAAATGTCCCAAAGCGAAAAATGAAATGTAATATTGTAAAAAAAGTGAAAAATTGTTCCGTAAGGAAGATGTCGGAAATTTGGAGAGGAAATCGATGCGCAGTGAATAGCTATGTAAATGACACTGAAAATTACATTAAAATATCCCAGTGATCGTGTAAGATGGACGTCTTGACAAGATGGATGTATAATTTGACAGTAGATAACCAAATCTTCATTAATTGACAGATGAAAGTAACAGAAGTTGATATAACACGTAGTATTAAAGCAGTACAGTACATAAAATATTAAAAAAGTTCTCGTTAACGAATAACTATAAAGAAACATGGTTGAAATATGTTATATCTCAAACATTGATGAAATGGAATGGAAAAGTGTCATCTCTTCTGATGAAAAATTTTTTAATTAGTCTGGTCCATATGGCAATCATATAACCAGATCTGCGCGCTTCTATATCAAACATACGATAAAGAAAGGAACCAAAATAGCCGCGAATTTTAAATTATCGAAGCAATAGATTTATTATATTTATATTATATTGGTAATCCTTTATTATAATCATTTCGTAATAATGATTTGGACGATTGTAGAGCACTCGAGGAAAGAAAAGAGTTCATATCGATGACAGTGATTAGCAAAACGAATGTAAATATACTTAATAAGTAATTGTATAAATCATTTTATAATTCTGCAAAAAGACAGAAGCTTTACCACGGTTATCAGGATCTAAATAATATTGATAGGTACTCACTAGAAAATATTAGCAAGATATTCTGTGGAGAATAATTTAATAGCGTAGATGAGCCAAAAACGTGCTTTGGAAGAAATGGAAAAGTCTGAACTAAAAAATAATTAAAACATTACATAGGGTAGATATCGCACCATAACTGGTCAGCTAAATAATTAGGTATTTTATTTTAATTAAATTATGTAGTATAAAAGACACAGGAATAGGATGCACCGAAACTCGGAAATTGCCGATACTGAAATATGTTTACAACTGAAATGTACGTAAATACAGACAAAAAATCTGTTTTTATTGAATTACATATATCATTAATAATTAATTTTTGTAACTTAAAAACATTCTTTTATAAAAAGGTACTACTTAATAACAGATATTAATGTTGAAAATATGATGTTCATATAGCAGTAATTTTTAATTAATATATAATTGTGCAAATTGGCTTAAAGCCTCCGTATCTAGGACACACACTCTGTATTTCGAAACGATGAAGCAAAAAATGTTCCACTCAAAATAAACTTAAAATTATAAAGCTAATAGTAATTTTAAATTTTAAATAACGATATGGCGAAATTGATTGAATAGCAACAGTTACGGGTTAAACAACAACGACAAGTGAAGTATTTAAACGTATAAAAATATTGTTCGCGTATCGTAGTCAATTTAAAAAATATACAAATATGAATTTTCAATTAAAAGACAAGCGATCGAATATAACGTAGCAGTTTTTATTGTAAAATCCACACATATATTACTAGCTCCATCAAAGATAATTAAATCGATTAAATCTGAAGTAAATTGGATCAATATTGTTCCAGATATTTCTATTATTAGCCCGGCAAAAATATCGTTCCGAGAAAAACGCGTTAGGGTGTTCAAGTAATAAATAATGTAATTGCTATTAACTTACATTTACGATCTTGAAGACCTGTTAGATCTAGACCTGAAGATCTGTTAAGAGTTTCTGAACATGTCACACACATTTCTTTTTGATAATTATACAATTTCTGCAAGGATTTAAATTTACAATTTCTGAATATGTTTCAATACTTTCGTCAGTTGTATTGACTAATTTATTTTTCTGAATTCATGATATAGCAAAAATATCTGAACCTAATATAATTTCTACACTATAATAAAAACTTAACGATTCAGAAATCGTTTCTATTACCGAAACGGATAACTTTTATTATAAAAAATAAGTAAAGTGTAATATACTAAATAAAAGAGCTGAATAAAACAATAAATACCGAATATCGCATTTTGCATACAGTTAACGCAATTAATCGTGGAAATGGTGTACACAAATTAGTCGTATAATATGATAAACCTCATGATGAAGTTTGTTAAAAGTGAAAAGTTAAAACTGCTGCAGTAGACAAAAATGCATGAAAATTGATTAATAGGGGATTGTGAGGATATAGTATACTCTGTGTACTCTGATCAGATAAATCAAAGTTTGGAATTTTCCGACGCAGACAAATTTTGTGTGCCCTAATATTTATGGATGGTATTCTATACCTAAAGCTGGTTAAATAGGATAATCTTGTTTAAAGTTACATTTTATGATATGAATAACATGCAATGATTTTAGTGGATGTAATAGTATTTACTTATAGTTTTAAAAATAACAGTAAATCATAAGCATTTCTATCATGGCAATATGTATGAACACCTAATGTATAGAATATAATCTAATAGACTGTAGAATAAAAAACGATTTTTTCACAAATATAAACATTTCATAAATAGTTGATTTTTAACAAAGGTCATTGTGAAATGAATAAAAATATGACTTTGACATTTCTATCTTTAAATATAATACATTAATCTCGAAGTATTTGATACGGTTTTACAAATAATAAAATAAATAAGAGAGACAGAATTAAGTGGAACATCTCTTATGAACAATGATGACTTTCATATCCACTTTCATTCGTGTACTATTCAAATTATTTATATTATTCATTTATTATTAATTTCGAATAAAATTGAGAATAACGTGGATTGCATAGAAATCTTAACAAAATCTCGTTTTTAGGTAGAACAAAAATTCTGTAAGAGGATTTTTGACAAGCCTAGTTCGCTCTCCATTCGCCTCCAACATTTACAAATTTTTACCGCATATCTCCGAAAATATTGATTTTGAAAAAAAATGTTTGAAACAAAAAATGAAGCTTTAATAAGCTCCATGAAAAGAGTCATACATATATATGTATCGTAGGAAAATGAAAAGAGGGATTTGATCAAATCCCTAAGGCATGTGATCAATTTATAGAAGATGTTAAAATAAAAACTGATAGTTTCATTAAACTGTTCTTCAGATACAAATTCGGCCAGAGTTTGATTTTTTCTACGACATTGATTTTTTAGCTTGTCGAAGGATGACATAGACTTTTACAAAAATTCTTCTTGTCGTTTAAAATAAGATATCTATGATCCGTCATTTTGACGTGTTCTGTAAATCTAGTGTTAAGACAGAATCGTTATTTTAACATTTTTCGTGAATTAATCATATACCTTAGGGATTTGATCAAATCCCTATCTTTATCATTTCTCTGCGACATATACATTTTTCATGTAAATTTTGTATGGTTCAAAAGAACTTTTTACATATATTTATTTAATCTTGGTCTTATTAAATACCTGATGAGCCGAAACTGAACTACAAATATACGCAAGATATTAGCAAAGCCCCTGCGCAAAGGAGAGTGAGTTGCGGTCTAGGGTTATAATAACTAAAATAATAAGTTTACGTCAAAAATGTACATAATATTTTATGTACAATTTTGTAAGAGCTTTATTTTTTGTGTAAAGAAGTTTTTCCTAATATTAATATTTTCAAAAATATACAAAAAGCCTTTTCAAACTTTCGAAGAGAGTAGGTGGCAAATAAAGCCTTATCCCTAAAAATTCATTTAGGGACTTTTTTATTTAATTAAAAACAAGCTTTGAATAAAATTTTAGTGCAATGAGCGGTTACAGCTTTTCCGAACTCTACCTCTTTTTTCTCTTTCAGAAAAATAATCGATGTTCACCATTTATTTATGTTGCTATTTTATTTAAAAAAATTTGATGTAGAAAGTAATTATTTTTTATAAAGTACTAAGTGAAACTATTTAAAAGCACGAAACAATAAATTATTTAAATTATTTTAATTTACATTGTTATCAAGATCTTGTGGGATTGAATTGTTGATTTTATTGTCTACACTTCAAAAACATAGCCTTAGATAGCCGAGATTTGTTTTATTGTTAAGAGTATAAACATCTACAGTTGATTCTGAATATATGCATGTTTTTAGAAAAGTACAGGAAAACTAAGTATAATCTTTCAGAATGATAATTTAAAGACTAATGTAGTATTATTAACAATCATCAATTAAAAGTAATGTTATCTTTGTACTTACATTCAGCCAAGAATCAGGATCAAACGCACCTGGTTTATCAGCAATCTCCTGTATATCGTACAATGTTTAATTAACATAGATTGTTACCATAATAAAGATATTCAATATAACTAGTAAATAATTTAGTTAATAGTTCATTATCAAAAGAATAAAAAACAGAATTCCTTTTTTATTGAATATATCTCTGTAAAATTGTTGGCTTATGAATCACAAATTCTAACTGAACTGAAGTTATATTAAATATATAAAGAGTAAAATTATTAACTGAGAATAAATATATGTAGTTTTACTTTTATGGAGTAGTTTATAAAAATTAGTAGCGTGTATTAATATTTTCATTTTTTTTATAATTTTACATCAATAAAATTATGAATTTGTAAATTGATTTTTTTTTTAATAAAAATTCTTCTTAATAAAATATTTGCTAAAATATACTGACGAATCAAAGATAATTATATAACATAGTCTACTACATTTATTTGTTAAAAAATACATATATGTTTTTACTAATTTAAATTATGTCAATTTGCATAATTATTATATTGGAATATATTGTAATTTATGATAATTCTACGATTAGTTTATTACTTTATTAGTCTTAAATATATACTTAATTATGAAAACTATTCATGAATTTATTTATAAGAATCATTTCTTTACATATTTTATGAAAAAATAAATAAAAATGTTCATTAATATCTTGAGATATAAGCCTCTGGAAATTGAGTATTTATGAATGCACACTACTGAACAATAAACTAAAAGAGGTATTCTTTGCTCTAATAAGGAAATAATTTTTCCTAATTAGTGTATTTTCTTTAAAAATATACAAAAAACATTGTTCTTGTTAATTTTGTGAAATAAGTTTCTACTTTATGATATATCATGATTCTTATTTCATATCTTCAAATCATGTTATAATTTATACATTTGAACTTGATCATTGTTTGTTATAATTATTCCTTGGTCATTTTATATTATAGTATAATCATATTAATTTTCACACTACAAATTGTTATACCATTATTTTCTGGTACTTTAATATTATACGTTTTAATTTGAAATTTACCAGTTAATACAATTTAATAAATATCTACATACCTTTAGTTGTTTTAATACATCAGCGATATTTCGTATTTCTTCTTCGGTTTGATGAATATTTTCTGATAACGACTGCGACCTCTTCAATAAATCTGCGACGTCTTCCCTCATTTGCGGATCAATTTCTAGTTCGTCTAATTGGTCTCCTATTTTCGGTTCTTCTTCAACTTTGCCTTCTAAATACTTAATGTAATCACGAACCCGTTGTACACCTATACAAATTGTGGAAATTGTATCCTTTGAATGAAACAAGTTTAATAATCAATACATTACAAATATACGGCGTTAATGATTCAGTTAGTTTATTAAAATTTACTACATTAATATACAACGATTCAATCATCACTGTTACTATAAATATAAAAACAAGATATGAAGAGTGAAGTATAAAATTGTAAAGTTATATATGAAACTGTAAAGTTTAAAATGCAAAATATTATGCATGCAATATTATTTGATAAAATGGAAAACAAAATTATTAAACGAGAATAAATTTTCTATTTGGTACATGAAAATATGAAATTATTAAATAAGCAGTATTAAATGCAAAATGAACGTCGTGTACAATTGGTATTTCTGCATTTTTAGCCTTCACGTTATGAAACTTTCAAAGCCAAAAATGTATGAAAATAGTAAATGCTCGTATTCATAAAAATGCTCCATAGGAAACGTAACAAATGAAAAGACGTAGTTTTTTCACATTTTGTATAGTGTATTCACATCCTTACCTTCGTTCTGCCTTTCAAATTTTTGTTTCAACAAATCGTTCGCCTTAATGAAGTCGCCGCATTCATCAATAATATCTTTGTCCACTTCCGTTTCTTTCGGCTCCACATGTTTTACTGCATTTATTCCACAATAACATTTTAATGATAGCGGTACAAATTATTAATAAAAATTTATTAACATAAACTATTAAATTACTTTGAAACAACGAATCTAATAATATAATGATATTTTTAAATGTAAGATACGGAAATAAAGTTGTATTTTTATTCATTTCTACTCCTCTTTTTGTATATAATTAACTAGAAGTATGAAACTATCTCCCAAATGTCACGTTTTTCTACTTTATAACTCTTCATTTATTACCATATTAAACATTTTATTTCTGTGAACATAGTAGTAAAATACATCCTTTTGTTCATTTAATATTTACTTGCATATTAAACATAAAATTGTAAATATAGCTATATCCTTAATATGAGAGAAGTTACTAAAATAGTGGTAATTAGTAATTACTGTTTTTGTCAAGAGTGTTCCATTCCTGTTCGATTTCTATGAAACTTTCCAAATTTACAGTATGATCGAAAACGAATAAAACTTATCTTTTATAACTGCGGATATTGACATTTAAATCACCTCTTAAAGCTTCTCGAGATCAATGTCTTTAAATATTTCATAACCATAGATGTGCTTCATTTCGTCATGAACCTTTTAGTATTTCTACATTTTTAACCAGTTAACTATTGCGATCTTTTTGCAAAATGCGCACCAGTGTGTGTCGCGATGACGAGTTAGCTCTCAAGAATTTATAAATCCATCTCAAATCATTTCCACTTTTTATTTGCTTATTTCATTTCGTGTTGACCTCTAAACATTTTAAACATATTACATTTTACGAATATAATTTAGTTTTCGCTAAAATTACAATTTAAATATCAAAATTGTGACAATATTTTACGCATGACGGATATAGCCGACATGACACAAAATTCTGCCACATCTCCATGACGGATATAATCGTCAAACACACTTAACTGGTTAAACATGGCGACATTTCCTAGAAACGCTTGTACGTTATAAAGCTTCTGTCTCTCATAAAAAAAGTAAAACAAAATTAAAAATGATGTGTTTTCATTAAAAAAAAAACCATTAAAAATAGTAGTTTATTTTATAAAATTGTCGAATCGAAATAATAGTTATGGCATTTAAAAAAAAGGTTTTCACAAAAGTCAAAGAAACTATTTTTCGATCAAAGGATAGTATGCATTGAGTTACAACACAATTTCATTTCAACGCCAAAATATCTATGGCGAATTGACATGGAATTCAGCAGAGACGAGATTAGTTTGCGAAACATATAGCAGAGTCAGTGATACTCAATGCAATTGCCTCTCTTCAACCGTTCTAGTTTGTTTGTTGTGAACAGCAATGAAGGCGATTGATTGCAATGAGTACCCCCACCTATACTGGGTGACAAAGTTATTATACTTAAACAAAAATGTAACTTTATCTGATAGAACAATTATTTTCATCGGGATAAACTTCCATATAGGTCGAAACCCTCTTTTTTTTTTTTAAACTTCGTATTCTTACGTATTTTGGTGCACTGATTACGAATATTATAGTGCAAGTTGGTGTAGTTAGATTATAATGGCGGAAACCATGAAAAGACTATGAAATCCGTTTTTCAATTTACTTCTGTAAATAATAAGAATTTTGAAAAATAGTTCCCATAAATGTTGTAGATGTCGTCGAAATGTATATTTTATGAAGTATTGATTTTTGCTGTAAAGGTAGTACTATTCCAGAAAAGTGATGTTAAATCTTTAACATTTTACGTATCTCATCTACCGCAGTTCAATACAATATTAGTTAATGCACTTCTTTGGTGTGGTCACATACACGCATACACAAATAAACCAAGAGTCCGGAGGGGAGGAGGTCCAAAGCGAGCCCCCTTTAGCCCCCTTCCCTCACGCAACTACGCCATGGGTATCCTAGACAGAAGAGCTCAATAGCATAATGCACATTTTGTTGAAGAAATGATGATAAATTACGACTTAACTAACGTAGTTATTTCTCAACAAAGTTAACTGCTTTGCAATAATAAAAAAGACAGGTTAAAATATATCATCAAACTAAAAAAGTATAAGAATCAAACTTTCCCATAAAAACAAAACACAATAAGACCAAGCTCTTAAAAAACTAAGGAAACAAAGAAATCAAACAGGTCGATAAAATCGAAAAAAAAAACATAATAATGAAACTGTCGTTATACCTAATCACGGGTACCGGGGTAGCAGATTAACTTAACCTAACTTAACCTAACTAAAAGTCTTGTTAGTAGAAGTATGTACATAAGTTGAGAGTTTCTCACAATTACGATTGCTGTTGACGACCGAACACCAAATGCAAAAATCGCGTTTTTCTCAAAAACTGGTTTCAGTATGGCAAAAATCAATACAACATGAAATATACAGTGAAGGACAACAGTATTCGCACACTTGAAATATAGAAACAAAAAAGAACGATATTTTCTATATTATTAAGTATATTTAATCAAACATAACTGTATATTAAACATTACATTCACAGCAACAAATGACTCAAAAACGAAGGCAATGGCATCATGTAGTAACTTGAAATGACTTGAAATTCACAAGACCGTAAGAAATTGCCGGGACAAAAATTTTAGTACATTATCATTTATATTGACAAATACAAAAATTGCGATGGTATCAGGACATTCTGATCAATGTAATCATTACATTAGATTATGTTCTGTTAGTGTAGTTAGTAGTAATTGTGGTGGACGAACAGTGCCAGGGTGGCACAAGTCGAAAACCCATGAGTGAATGAAAGCGAGGAAACGAGTGTTTAAGCAGACCGCGGAATAAAATAAATATGTGTGCGACTTAAACACGATTGTTTTTATATATCGCGAGTGAAAATAGTGTAATTTAAGGGTGAAATTTGCCCTTGAAGAAGGACTTGCGCGAACACGTGGTCGTACGACATGTCAAAGTTGCGAGAGAACGTCGCAGAAATTAAATAAATTAAATAATGTAAATGTCAGTAGGGATTTAAAGTGCGGGGAAGGGGCGACCGAGGCATGTTGAATGCACGTGGTGATTAGTTTCGGCTATTTTCATATTTTCGTAATTTGATAGTTAATAAATAAATAATGCCGTCGTTCGAGCAAGCTTCGATATATCATACGAACACGTGGGCATCTCCGCGCGAGGGAAAGCGTAGGGCGTAAAGGCCGGTTCGCAAACATCCAATATGGCGGAGGAAGGATCGCCGCAAGCGCATGGAGAGCGGTCCTTAGGGACGAAGCCTAAGAGTGAAGCGGAGGCACGCGGCAACAAGCAAGATGGCGGAGACATGGCACGTTTTTCAAATGGCAAGTGGATAGGTTGAAGCAAGAAGACAGTGAAGAGGAGAAGAGGAAGAGGCAAAACGACACGGAACGAAGTGAAGGAAGGAAGTAATTAATTAATAAATAAATTAAGTGAATGAGATTAATAATAATAATAATAATAATATTAATTAATTAATAATTAACTAATAATTATTTATTAGTAGTGAAGTGAGTAGTAGATTAATAAATAAATAAATAATAAATAATAAATAATCAACAGATAGGCAATTAATTCGGTGTAGTATTGGGAAAGTGTTATGGGAGTGCAGTGAAGTGTTGGGAGTGTTGCGGGTACAGGGGAATATACGTTACCACGTGCGCGAGTGCAGAGGAACAGTGCAAAGCGGGAAAATG